GGTTTCTCTTTACTTCCGTTTACTTTGATACCACAGTATATTAAGAGGTTCAATTGATGAAAAACACGCTAAAACGAACGACATTTGAAGACAAACAGTGAAATCCACTCAGCCTTCGCTTGTTCTTATTGGCCTCCATGACTTCCTGTTCTTTTTAAACCGTATGGCGCATTTGTGAAGCGTGGAAGCGGGAAACATATGTTCGGTCTCAGTCTTTTTCGTCCGAATCGGCAGTTAAATATCTCCAGGTCGGGCAAAGAAAGATTCAAATATCCCTCCCCCCGGGAGAACAAGATCAGTCGAATGCCCTACCCCAGGGACAACAAAGACAATCAAATCCCCACCCCATGCCCTGCCTCCCCCCCCGCCGGCATTACATTGATAGGTGCATTAGTTTCCGCTTCGTTCGCAAATTCACAGTACTATAAAAACTGCGGATACTTCAGTTTTCGTTATTCTGGTGCAAGTATATCGTAATACATTTTCTTATTTCAGCAAATTGGGGCTACTACTCTCCTGTTGAGCCGGTGCTTAAAACAGGTAAGGAAACAAGCGGAAGCATATTGGCCTTCAGGCTTCCGGATTAATGTTGTGAACTCAAAGCCTTGAGTAACAAAAACAGGAGCAAAAATTGTGCCACATTCTCGTTTTATTTCTGATTATTTAACGTCTTCAAATGTTGTTAAGTACGGGTGTCAGTTCACTTTTGGGCGTATGAATTAAATTATTTCACGTTCTTATCGTTTTTCCGGGAAATGAACGAATTTAACATTCGCAGAAATTGAAAGCGTGTTTTTTAACGGTATGGTTCTTTATTCCTCGAAAGTAGGAACCTTTTGCGGTTAATAGAAAATATATTTCAGTGAATTAGGAGGCTAGGAGTAAAAGAGCAAATCGCATCGTAAGAACGATTTTCTTTCAATCAAAGTTTAGCGGTAGCTTGAGCCGGAACTGTCATCCATTAGGGTACGTTTTGTTGTGTTTGTAATGTTTACGGTCTTCATTCACTAAAATAGTGAATACCTTTATAGCTCGGAAACAGGGCCAATAAATAACACAACGTCATGTGTAGATAATTGGATTCATTGCGTCTGGAAGGGGGCATTCTTGATGGCATGAGGGGTAATTTAATTTCCAGTATCTTTCTTTTTATCCTCTGTCATCCCAAATGATCGGGAATCTTATAAGTGATATAAATACTAGAAAGTCTTGTGGCCCATTCAATATACCTGTTACTATTCTGAAAATAATGAAGGACTATATATCTGAGCCTCCGACCTTTTTAGTGAATGATTCCTTTACAAGAGGCAATTTTGCCGATAAATTTAAGTAAGCACAGGTTCAGCCTTGTCTTCCATGAAAGGCTCTAAATATGACAAAGACGATTAAAGACCCATTTCTGTTTCGTCTCCAACTTAAGCAAATGATTTTAAAAAGCTATGTATCATCGTCTCTAATAGTTATCTGGAGAAATTAAAAATAAATCCAATTCGACTTGGTTTTCAGGGACAAATGTTTGACTAGTAGTCGACAGTCTATTGATAATACTGAATTTGGCTGTGGTATATTTCTAGATCTGAAAAAAAGCTTTTGAATGATTTACTGAAATCTTATTCACCCAAAGTGAGCAACTTGAACCGTATGTGTTAATGGTCATAACTCCGTTTCCTTACCTGTGACTTGTGCTGTTCCACAAGGATCCATTCTAGGATTCCTTTTATTTCTGTTAGTGTGTAAATGATTTGCCTAATACTTCTAGCTTACTTTACATTTTTTTGGGCTGATGATTCTAACCTTTGTTTTTGTAGCAAACAACTTACTAGCAACCTTGAAAAAACACTAAATTAAGAAACTTAAATCTGTCGCTAAATGCCTGGATGGCCATCGTACTCGAACTTTAATGTAGTTAAACAGAAACGTTTATAACTGTAAACAACTGGCTAAAAAGGCTGTTACTTAGCACAGTTAGCAAAAATACTGTGAAAAAATAAACTGAATTTAATTGATCGTAATCCATTAACACCAAGTATCTTTAAAACTACTTTATTCTTTTCCATTCCAATAAACTGAAGCCTTATCAGCCTTTTTGTATTGAAATTGGGGATGTTCCTATTAGACAAGTTCATGGTGTTAAATACTTAGGCATAACATTTGATTCAAGCTTAACCGTGGAAAAGTCATGTTGATGAGCTTTGTTTCGCTAACTCAATCTGTATTAATTGTAAAATCGTGTTGAGTAAAATACAACATTTTTGTCTTGTCTTGCCTCTTTAGTCAAACTTTTCTCGACACCACTTTCATGGCATCATGCTTTCGTACAATACCGTAAAATTCCGAAAATAAGCCCTTCCATGTATAAGCCCCTCCAAATATAAGCCCCCCGGGGGCTTGTACTTGGAAAATTGTCCTCAAACACAAAGTAGAACAAAGCAAAAAAGGTAAATTTACTTTCAGCTATAAGGCTAGCCCAATCGATTTTGAAACGCAAATTTCCCTCCGTAGATAAGCCCCTCCAGAAATAAGCCCCTCAAAAAGGGCCTTTGAAAAATATAAGCCCCTTGGCTTATTTTCGGAATTTTACGGTAATTTTTCAGTGGCCTTCTCTTGCCCAGGAACTGGTACTTATTGCGTGCATCACTAAATCACGTGAATGATCATGCAGTGAAATCAATGCCCCATTTCATTTCCCTGTAGGATCTATTTCTAGAATAGAATAGAATAAAATAGAATAGAATGCTTCATTGAAATACCTCACTACCAGTATCGACTAAATTGCTAAGGTTAACAATACATAGAAAAGGGTTATGAATTCAAACATAATCACAAATTAAATCCTCATATACTAACTTTAACAAATCCTACAACTTCGAACATAGAATCTCAGACTAACTATGAATTATTGGAAAATACGTGGGCATTTGTTAATAAATGTATCATGGCACCTGTTGGTCTTGCATGGCTTTGCACGGTATGTTCTGGAATTCCTGACAGAGGCTTTTGGGGGCAACTCATTGAATGTTATGAGAGGGTGCAAAACATCAAGGGAATTTTCAACAATTTTGTTGAAAAAGATTTTTTTTACACAGCTCTGTCCCTCTTTGCTGTAACTGAACAAGGCCTCAACGTGACAGGGCATCTGACTAGTGCACTTTATTTATATGAATGCAAACTACATAGAACTGAGCCAGTTCTTCAGGTGGTACTTTTGCATGCTTTAGTTGCTCTAAAAAATTCTTAACAAATGGACTAAAAGTTTCCATGGTCTACACTCTTATAGACCATAGAAATGATGTCATAAAATGTTCCAAACTCAAGTGGAAAGCGGCTCGTGGTTCCACTGCAAAGTTTTGAACATTTTACTGCGTCATTTCTATGGTCTATAAGAGTGTAGACCATGGAGAATTGTGGTCGATTTGCTTTTTCAAATAATATTTTTTTTTACGAAAAACCAAGAACAAAACCACCGGCACTGCGTGACATGTTACATGGTTAATACTCTCATATACCATAGCTCTCGACCAATCAGCGCGCGAGGATTCGCTAATTCATTGTAAAAAAATCGTTTGGTAGCTTTTTTGTCATTTCTGTAACATGAGAATTCTCCTTAAGGTGTTCTTGACTATAAAAGTCTACTAATTTAATTACCTGTACTGTATGAATTTCAAAACCATCGATTTCTACAAGTTCATGGTTTTTTGGGGAGCGTGCAAAGGTTATCTTTAGTTCATTGCACTTAGAGGAATGTAGTTGAAACATGTTTTTAGTAGACCATGCAGACACCTCATTGAGGATGGACTGCGCATAACTAGTCCTTTTATTTTCCACTACCTTGTAGACTTCAGTATCGTCCACGTACTTGAAAAGACCCCTTGAAGTATCTTCACTAAACAGAGACGGAGGAGCGTTTTGAAACGTGGCGGGGGGGCTCATCTTCCACGCAGCTATACGCATGCCCCTACTCTGGGTCACCTGCTTTAGAGGCAACAACTGCACTAAGCTATTTAAAACGCTGTTCAAGTGAGAGAGTAGAGACCTTGTGACCCGATGTGGTAGGCTGATAGTAAAAGAGAAAGGGGCGAAAAGTCGTGTTGTGGTTGTAGAAGAGCTTGGTTGATGTTGTTTGCGAGACATGTCATCGGTAATTGGCTTGTCGGTTTACTAACTAGCTTGTTACATGTTCCAGACGTACATAATCGATAGGAATGGATAGTATAATCGCTAATTATCGATTATCCGTTATTCGATTAATTAAGTCTGGTATGATAGGAGGGTAAACAATAGAAATGAGGAGGAGGAGGAGAGCAACAATAAAATTGAGCAGGAAGAGCCTCGCGCTTTATTGGATATACACGACTTTCTCGCTAAGAATCGGTGCACAGGAACTTTAACAATGACAGCGGCAGGAAATGGAACGTGCATAATTACGTTACGACTCAATGATTTTAAGGCACATTCAAGTTTGAGTTTATTACTTAGTCATCATCCATCTAAAAATAACCAAAACCAGTTCAATAAAACAAGAACATGACAAACAGGTTAAAACCAGTCTAGGCTACGTTAGTCTATTACTCCTATTGTATAAGAAAGACAGAAGATGGCAGATAATGAGAATCCACCGCATTTTATTCGTGAGTTAAAAGACAAAACGCTATGACGTCATCGGCGTTAATGTATTCCCCCGCATGAAAGGGAGTTAATTTGGTGCCTATACCACTACTTGTGGCCAAACTTTCCTGGGCTGGTTGGGTTATCTTTAAGGAGAGATCTTAATATAGGGATAACCTTATGATCCTCCTGTAAACAGTGTACGTATGTATGAGTATGCATGAAACATCCCTTTGTTCTAGAAGTTCTTTGTATGTATTCATGTCCTTCATTTATATTCGAGAATGAAATCTCAAATGTGAAACTAAAGCAGATTGTTCTTTTTGCCCTTAATCCCTTAACGTCTCTTATTCATTTTCAGAATCGCCTTTTCGATTCACATCTCAATCAAGATCATGGTGGACAGCACCCATGAGGAGTTACTTCCGTGCCCAATACAAGAGGAAGGTCAACAGAAAATGGCTGAGACACTTAAAAGGCTGGAAGAAATTCTACTCCAGACACAGGGACGTGGAATTGCGGAGAGAAGCAAATTTCACCTTATCACCAGTGCCTTAGCAGCTGTGGCATGTGGAAGCTGGTCTTGGATCAGGTTTTGGATCTTTTTTCTGTGGACAGCCTTCACTGATGTACTCAAGACTATGAAAGAAATACCGAAAGA